TTTACATAAAAAATTTACTAAGTATAGCCTTGTTTGTAGATGCAGTTAAAGAAAATACATGAAAAGGCACGATTTTTTTTGTTAATTAAAAAAATTTCAATATTTCAAAAACTGTGACACTTTTACCTGAAAAATGTTTGGTTATCAGGGAGCTCACCACCCCACCTGCCTTCTCCTCAAGTTTGGTAGGTTACTTCTGGAACACCCTGTATATGTATAATTATTATCATTCCTTTGAAACATCGTCGCCCGTATGCTATAAATATGAATGTGTAAAAATTAACATTTTGGGAAATCAAGTTTGAAAGTTTTTTTTGCGACACTTAGCTCTACATTTATGCAATTGAAATGCTAAAATATTTACTTTCGGCGTACGCATGGTATTCTGGGTTTTGGTATAACATAGAAAATCCAAAGATTAACCAAGTCAACCCAATAACTCAAAACTGATAAATTTGCACATTCATGATTCTGGCATGAGGGTGACGTTATGTGAATTAAAAACTTTAAAGGCGTGTTTCTCGGGTTTTCGGTTTTTGAGTTATGAAAATACTGAAGTAAATGAGTTTTATGTTCATTTTCATAACATTCATATTGAATATTGAAGTAATATTCGAACGTTCGCCACAATATTTATTGGGTAATTAAAAAAAAATTTACTTAGAAAAGTTCTTAACTCGTCGATACTTTTCGGCATTCGCGATATTTATCAGTACTTGTGAAAAAGTATCGAGTTCTCGATACTACTCAGTAGGGATGTTGAGAATGTGGAATTTTAGACATCCGCGGATGCGAATGCGGATGCGGATGTTTAAAAGCTAAGATCTGCGGATGCGGATGCGAACGCGGATGTCATGTATTTTTAAGAAATAATTTAGGTGGGTAAATTAGGTGATTTAGGTAAATAAAAAATGGAAAGGTTAATAATTGTTAATAATCTGCCTTTTTTGAGTTTTCTGAGTTTTGCCAGAAAAAAAGTCGCCCGAAAATTTGTATTCCGCCCATAGTAAATATGTACATGAAAACCAAAAGTGAAAAGTGAACCGGTTTGGGGAAAATTAAACTCATGATAAGACTGAATGTTTTTTTAGTACTTGAACTTAAAAATTGGAACATTGTACTTAATAAAAACTTTTTTAAGGGTCGTAAATCAAACCTGCGCCACTATGTATATACTTAACTATGTACTCGCTCGAGGCGACAAACTTGAAACTTGGCAAAATTGTAAATTCTTTTCGATTGACACTGCACCAGTTGAGAGGACTTTCAGTTATATTTATTTATTTTTGTTGTGGTGCAATAATTACTTTTTGAGAATTTCATCGGGGCTACAAATGTCGGATGTATCCTCTGACTTTCATCTTCACAATCTAGCATCATGGCATTCTTCATTCAAATTCTTTTGGTTGTTTCGGAATTTGTCACGTCATCAATTTCGTTTTTCAATTTTAGTTTTTATAAGCATTTTTAATGCTTTCTTCCCTGACTGGTTAGATATACGTCTGTGCACTTGCAGAATATTCTAGGAACCGAACAGTTATTTTTTTCCGAGTTAAATTTGGCCTAATATTTTATATTCCGAAATAAACGTCCTATCCAAATAATAAAGAAACCGCTTATCCAAATTAAACAAATTGGGTATCATATGAAAGAGGACTGAAATAGCTTTTAAACAGAAATAACGAATGAAGGTTACCACCTCTATTTATATTTTTTATAACTTAATACTATAGAAATTCATGTAAATACATACATACCTGACCCAATGTTTGTTCTATGGTAATTAATTAACATTTGTTATTGAAATATTTTTTAATTCGTGGCTTTCCTCTTTTAGACATTTCAGATTTAAAGCTATTTAAGTCCTCTTTCGGAAAGTACTTTTATTTCGGAATAAAAAATATTTGGCCAAGTTTAACTCGTAAAAAAATAACTGTAATTTTCGGTCCCTTCGATGTTCGCATTCGCAAAAGATCCGCCTTAATTTTTGCGAATGCGAAAGCGAATGCGAATGTTAAAATTAATGCAGAAGCTCCACGGTTGCAAATGCGAATGCGAATATTCGCAACAACCCTGCTACTCAGTACTCATGAAAAGTATCGATATTCTGTACTCGGTACTCGTATCGTTCCATCACTATCCACATTTTTAAATTTAAATAAATCCATCGTGGTCCCGCCCTTTAACTGTGTTAATGAATACTGATATAATTAAAAAAATATATACATTAAAATCATTGTTATGGTAAATAAAGCTACAGAAAATAACGGCTTTTCAAAATTAAATTAGTGTTACTCTCCAAGTCGTGATTAACTAAATAACTGGTTATTTCATGTAATGTATGCATATGTATTGAACTTTAAACAAGTAAAGAAGTATAAGTTCGGGCGAAACCCGGCACAGGTATAAAATATCGTCGTTTCAACTTTCTCTGAACTACCTTTGCATGATAAGTAGGGGTGTTTAATCGATTTCAAACGTTTTCAATAATATGCAGAGTTAGACTTAATGATATAATTCAATCTAGTAAGGTACAAATCGATTAAGCGGTTACCAAGGTACACCTTTGTAGTTATAAAGTGGGCGGTGCTACGCCCAATTCCTAAAAGTCTATAGCAGTTATTTATTGTTAGGAGATTGTCGTAACTATTAACATGGATTAAATTAGCGTCCTCACTTATTGAACAATCGGACTTTTCGTATTTCTGAAATTTACCGTTACACGGGAAGCGGGTGTAATTTTAGTCCGATTTGAATAATTTTCAAGAAAGTACTTTTCTGTACCAAGGTTGTTAAGTGCACTGAGTTTTGTAGAAATTAATAAAGCGGTTACCGAGATACACATATTTGGTCATAAGTGGGCGGCGCCACGCCCATTGTCCAAAAATTTATAATATTCATATTTTTTGATAAGTGGTTATTGTAATCATCGATTTTAAGTGAATTAGCTCCAGTGGTTACTGATTTATCGCAGTTTTCGTGTTTCTATAAATTACCGTTATATGTCAGGTGGACGTGGTTATTGCCCGATTTCAAAGATTTTCAACAGATTTCTTAGTTAGACCCTACCCAAGCCTCGTACTGAGTTTTGGAAGGATTAGTGAAGCGGCTCACGCCCATTTCCAAAAATTTCATGATAATATTATTTTCTACCAGAATTCTACTCTAGATACTAATTTTCAATTATTTACATCTAATATTTACAGAAATATGGTAGTTTTTGCATATTTCGAAAATACCCTTATATGGGAAGTGGGCGTGGTTACAGTCCGATATCGCCCATTCAATACCAGCCTACCTTGGGTAAAGGGCAACCTACATACCAAATTTCGTTGCGAATTTATGCTCGAGTTATCGTGTACACCGACAGACAGACAGACATGGGTTAATCGACTTCTCTTTTCATTCTGATCATTTATGTATACATTTGTCCATATCTACAAACAACCGTTATCCGAACAAAGTTAATATACCCTTGTGCATTTTCGTTATTTCGTTTTGTTGACATCCTAAAGTAGAGACAAAAATATCCAATCAGTTGTTCAATCAACACCACCTTGTATTGATGTGCCTTGGGTGGTCGCATTAAAATTTACCAGCATATATTCGTGTTTTATAAATATTGTAATATGGCAAGTATCGCAAGATGATTCTACTTGAATCAAATATGAGGGCATGCGCATTAGTTTATTTTGCTTTGGAACCGAAGAAAAATCGATACACATTTACAAGTAAGCAGAAACTTATGAATATGCCCTGCAAAAAATCTGACTAGCTCAGAACTAGCGTAGACCTAGACCTTTTGCCGACAGTACTAGTTCAATACCCAACCAAAGCTTTCAACTGTCCAGTTTTACACGGCGATGCCATTGGCGGTGGCAATTGTCGCCCAGTGCATTACTTTGCAACTAGTTTTTAACCGGTTCCGTTTTGGACAGGTTTCTTTATAAGAAAACGTTTTAAAGATTCTATTTTGGGATATTTTTTTCGTTTTTTCCAGATTCCATTTTTGTTACACGTTTTATTAAAAAACAAAATAAAATTGTTGGGCGCGTTTCTAAGACGCAACTGTTTACCGCAACTGTTGCGGAAATGCTGTCAATTGTTGAGTCCAACAGTTACGTCCTAGAAACGGTATGAGCACAATAAAAAAAAAATATTAAGCCGAAAACATGTATGTGCATACGATACACCATTCAGTTTATTCCTTAAACCACAAGGAATCTTGACTTGCTAGCACCATAACTATTTTTTTCACATTTATTTGCCAAGAGTCTGCACGGTTTCAGTGAGTTATTCAAATTCGTCTGCTGCGAATGGTACACGAATGGTATTAAATCCCGCCTCCCGACTTAAGCAACTACGAACTCAGTTATGTACATATATAAGCTTTTAAGTTCACGAATTTACCATTTTTATCTTATTTTAAATATGTATACACGTGCATTTTATTTTTTTATGCCAATTTCACTAGCAATTTATAGAAAAATTATTATTTTTATTTGAATTTACTATGAAAACTGACGGAAGGGAAAAATCAATTTTGACTTAAATGGTTGAGTTCATGTAGCAAAATGGTTTATGATGGAAAATTGGCGTCGAATCCACAACCGCTGAACAGAGCGGAACTACTCAACTGTGCGTTTCTAAAACAAACACTCAACAGTTTAAAAACGGTTACGCCTTAGAAACGCGCCCATTGTAAGCTGCACGCAACACTTTAAATTCATTAAATCTGAAAACTTACAACTGCCTCCACCGAGATTTGAACTCCGGACCAACGAGGTTTAAGTCGGAGGTCTTTTCGCTGAGCTACCTTCGTATTGTACGAATAGTGAGCATTTGCACATTTACACCGCAAGTTTCAACTGTCCCGCTCTGCCTCCATTTTGCACTAGTTCAGAAATAGTTCTGATATATGTAATTCGCAACTAGCGCTTTGCCAGACTGTCTCTAAATTTGAGTGCAGGGTGTGTATGGTGCAGATGTATGTATGTACAAACATAAATACATCAACATTTTTTAAACAAATGAAATGTTGTTTAGAATCGCGTAGCGGAACTTCTTTGCATATAAAAGCCCATCAAAACAAAAAAGCAGTTCTAAATGGATTCTAGTCACCAAATAAATGTACCTTTGCGATCCGGTGGCAAAAAAATTAAAAAACGGAGGGAGCTTGATGCGCTTATAGCACATTCCTTTGGGAAAAAACAAACTATCCGACGTAATAATTTAAATAGGCTCTCGCAAGATAAATTACTATCTGCATCAACTGATGATGCTGAGGACTATACTTGGATACAACTGAACAGAGTAAATTTATGAAACAAATAAATAGAATGAATTTATTCTTTAATAGTTATATTATCGTCAGCCCAAAAACGCTAGGAGTGCAAACCGTTGTCAGAATCGTAAAAGTATGATCTGCAAGCGCTTGCTAATGTTCATAGCAAGTATCTTTTTAATAGGACTTCTTTATTGGATGTATTTGGATTTACGACAAGAAATATATGATTATAGACAAAAACTTGAAGAAGGTAAGAGTTATAAATTGTTGTTGATATACGGTTAGGGGAATATATTTCAAATTATAAAGCTTATCCATACATATACATACATGCTATGTACATACATACTATCTATGTATATTTTTATACCCGAGCGCACTTGCCCCAGCAAAAAACACGATTACCACAGAAACGAAAGTGGGAACGAGCTAGGCGATGGGAAGGCCTTATTTTAACATGGGCATGTCATTGGCCGTAAGCCCTTACCCGCAGCATTACCTTCGAACGAAGAGAGAACGCATGGATAAACAGAATCCAGAGAAGCGAACGAAGAATGCCATACAGAGAAACTAATGTAGAATGCCTAGATAAGTACATACTTATTTATATTAAATTGAAATCAGAAAATGTCTTAAAAGATTAAAATTAATTAAACTTATTATAAATCAGTTTTTATACATACATATGTATGTATTTAGGAATTAAGCTTTTACTTAAAAATCGGTATGTGCATTAGGCTGGGTCGATTTTGTATGGGGGAAAATAAAAGTCATTTGACCGCATTGTAATAGTAATATTATGATGTCTTAGGTCTCAGCCAATTGTTATTGGCTACGAAAGATTAATTTAAAACTTATCTTTAGCCCGCGCAAT